AATTGTACTTATAAATTGTTATTTATATTGTAATTGCAATAAACTTGCTCCCACTCTGCCATTGGAAATTATCGTCAAGTAAAACAAGCAGCATGAGAAATCGAAGAGGGCCATACCATTGCAGGCCAGCAGTGATTTCAACTTTAGATCGAAATAAACAAGTGTGTGAGTGAAACACTTATGATGCAACAGGCATCATCACTGCAAAGAATTTATGTTTTGTCCTGTCCTTAGTATGGGACAAGCAGAAGGTCAAAGAATGTCCGAAAAATTTTTGAAGGATCTTCTAGTATGCCTCAACAAACTAATACAGTGTTTCTTTTTCTGATTAAACTATAATGCAGCTTACTTTTTAAACTAATAAGAATATTTAACCTCTAGTAAGTCGCTGCAAACTACGGAGCCTAGCACCATTGTTCCCGTATCAAAAATATGAGCTGTGAGTAAGTGCCGAGCTTTCTGACACATCTACAAAACCATAGAATACCGCTCACTATGACAAGCGCCCCATTACAATGCACTTGATTTCCCCCTACGCATGTCGCAAGGCTTCACGACTGGAAAAAATTGTGCTACGATTGCTGCGGAAACAAACTATCAACGTGCGGCTCAAAAAGCATCGCTATGCATGCCAGCAGACAGCCATCACAGGCAACCTTTCTATGCACTGCAGAGAATGCGGGTGAAGCCCACTGTTTGAAAGAACTACAATTCTGGCCAAATAAAAAAAAAAGACAACATGCCAATTTTGGGATACATATCAGACAAAAGAAGCGCATGTATCAGTTCCAGCTCCATTGTACCAACCCCCATTGAATACTAATTCATGATTGATTGATTGATGATTGATATATGGGGTTTAACGTCCCAAAACCACCATATGACCATGAGAGACACCGTAGTGGAGGGCTCTGGAAATTTCGACCACCTGGGGTTCTTTAACGTTCGGCCAAATCTGAGCACACGGGAAAACGAATTAATCAGAAGCCATAAATAGCATTTTAATCAGCATACTTGGATAAGAACTTTGAATCAGCACCACATCTGGCAATTGTAATCACCCCAGGTGTTGCACCTGAATACCGTGGAGCAAGATCGCAGATTCCCACTCTCTTCGTAAACTGATTTTTTTCTTTCCAGGAAGCCTTCATTCTTCCAAGTTTGTTCAATAAACTTCAGTTGATAGTTTGCGCTTGTACTGTCCACTTCTTTTTTGTCTCCTCCCTAACTTCGTTAAAAAATTATAAAATTAAAAAAAATTTAAAAAAAAAGCAAATGTATCGCAATTTTTTCCAGAAACCAAGTAGCCCAACACCTCACTTTGTTAACGTAAGGCTTCACATACTTCTACACAAAAAGCCCAATCAAAAGCATTTATTTTTGTATCCTTACAGTAACTCGACTGAAATATTGCTAAGAAATGGTGCCAATTTGCTAAGAAACTCAGAGAGTACTATCTGAAGCAAAAGGACAGCACTGTTTACATGCCCTCTCATGCACCACTGTGTCTCTAGTGGTAAGTGGTGACTGTGTAGAATATGAAACTGAGTCAGCAGTTTCTTTTTGGAAAATCATTGAATAACTGCTATCAGAAAAAAGTCCCTCTGGGCAAAGCACCGCCATCAGTGCCACAAGAAACAGTAAAGCTGCTACCATTACCTACTTCGCACTGGGAAATGATCACACATTTGGTAGTGTCTTTGTCACGTTTATTTAAAATAATTCCAACATTAATCTTGTGGTTTGTGGCAAATGACTCGAGATTTAGGTGATTATGATAGCCATGATGGAAAGCAATAATGCACACCACCAAACAAAGCAGCAAACAGTTGTTGAATTTCTGCAATGTCAGACTGAACACAATATATTAGTACTGCTGACTCTACAGACAACATTGAATGTATTACACATATTCAGTACAAAATAAACCGTTGCAACTGAACCACATTGTAAACTTCCTTCCACTACTGCAATAAAAAAGTTCAGCACCTTTGAAATTTCAAGATTTTTCGTGCTCATCTTATTGCAGCTAAAAATTACAAAAGAATGACTCGTAGCTATAGCTAGAATTCTTTTTAACGACCTCACATATAATGTGCTAAATAAGACGCTGTTTTAGGCAAGCTAATTTTAAGTAATTGACACTCACGGCGTAAAATAGGCAAAGAGAAAAAGGTAGGGGCACAGGACACAAGTGCTTGTGTGCTATGCCCCAACATTGTGCCTACACTAGGTTTTTACAGCAGATGTGAGGAACCGACCACAAACTTTTACAGAACCTATTTTGTTCAGTGTAACCTAACGATTACAAATCAGAGTGCCTTATCAGAAAATGGCACAGTGGAAAATATCGTGATTCGTTTATAATAATTTTTTTAATCTGTAGATTTCGTTGCACAACAGTAAGATTTGGTTGAGGTCCTCATATGTACGTCTTCATGATGTCTTAATTTATTCAACAAGCCCAAGGGGTAGTTCGTGACTCTTAAAGATATGATCCTGCTCAAATCGCAAAGAGGATCGTAAGACCTGTCTCCAATCTACGGTAGACTCCCATTAAATTGAAATCTGTTAAATGGAACTGCTGCTAACATAGAACAACTGCATCAAGCACAATTGATTGATTGATTTGTGGGGTTTAACGTCCCAAAACCACCATTTGATTATGAGTGACGCCGTTGTGGAGGGCTCCGGAAATTTCGACCACCTGGGGTTCTTTAACGTGCGCCCAAATCTGAGCACACGGGCCTACAACATTTCCGCCTCCATCGGAAGTGCAGCCGCCGCAGCCAAGAATCAATTCCGCGACGTGCGGGTCAGCAGCCGAGTACCTTAGCCACTAGACCACCGCGGCGGGGCGTCAAGCACAATTGGTGTCATACTTACCCCCGAATGCAGAGATGTTACTTGGCTCGCGACTTCAACTTAACTTGAGCAAGTCGGCGCGAAGCAAGCAGCGGACTTCAAAACGCCCAAGTCAGCCTTCGCGTTTCATAGATGCTCAGGCTGTCTTGCTTGGTCAAGTCAAGAACGAGCTTCAAAGCAGAAACACACTGCTTGCCTGCTAACGAGGGTAATAATGAAGTTGTTCGCGTAAGGCATGCATTACACGAAAAAAAAAAAGACCATACATTTTAAAATAACTATAAAAACGAAGGGCCACAAGCATATTCTTGCCATTTTACGGCTAACGAGCGGCATCTGGTGCCTGCCATCACAGCGATGCGCAGTGTTGCTTCTGTAAAGCGTTCGTTGCCCGCTGGTTTTAGTGGCCACCCAAATGCGGTGCGTTTCTCCACGTTTGCTTGTTTGGAGGCGAAACAAGCATCGCGTTGGGTTCTTTCGTCGTTTTTTTTTCTCAATCGAACACCATGGCATGTATTTCTGCTGACCTGGCTCACGAGGTGACGCGATTTCCACGGTATTTGGCTTTCTGTTCGCCGGTGTGCATGCCTGTAATGGACTAGGTCGCAGTTATTATGAAAAAAAAAGTTCTGGGAACAAATGTGATTCGTATCCTTTTGTTGAGCTTGGTAAACAAGAGAAAAAGCGGGGGTCAGGACATTGCCCTCAGCAGAATTCTGTCTCGCGGGGTGCAGCAATGCATCGCTGCATCATGGTGACGCGGATAAAAAAAACCCGTGATAGGGGCACCTCTTTTTTTTATGTGTGTGTAATTTTACGTAGCGTTGTGCTACAAGCGATGCCTTTCTGAGCGAGAAACAGTGCCCTAGACGGGACGAAAGGATAGACGAGGCACACGGACACAGCGCAGAGTCAATTTTTTTTTCTTTACCGAAAGAGACAGAAAATGTCGTCGTGTTATAGAAAAACAGAAATAGCCTTTGCGGTTACGGAACACTTCGGCGTAGTCAACACTGGGGCTATTAATACGCACGTGTGTGTAGTCGACACAACCTGTAACGCAAGGGAACTCAGCCACTTCATAACAGTCCGCCGGCTGCGGAAAGCGCAGCAGCATTGCGTTACAGGTGCTTTTCGATGAGTAGCGCAACTTTTCCGACTGCACGGCACACTGTCGACTACGGAATGCGGACGAAATTTCCGGTGATTGGTTGGAATGTGCCAGCGCTGTAAAACCTGAGAGCCACCAGTAGCTGTAACACTGGATGCACGGCCTGTCTTCGGTTGTCCCCACTTTCACGGAGCGGCAACATAACGAGCAGCTGCCCCACGGCGTTCTTCATGAGTCTGTATCAAGCGTGGAATTGTTCGTCGTCGTACAACTCCATCGCATTTTCTCGGTCACGTTAAGCGAGTCCGAAAATATTCGGCAGGCAGTGCACCTTAGAAAATGCTACGCTTATGGCGAGGCAAACAAACTCAAAAGCGGCCACTTTCCACGTGGCGTCCGTTCGAGAGGTGACCATGTTGGAAAAACGCATGAAGTCGCTTTCAAGCTAGCGCCGCCGCTGACTTGAAACTTGTCCTAACTTTGACCAAGCCAAGTCGCCTTCAAGTCGTCCGCAAGTTAGAGAACGATTTACGGCGACCGGCAAGACTGTGTTGAGTCAAGAACGAGTCAAGTACGAGTCAAGTAACATCTCTGCATTCGGGGATTAGATTCTCCACCCTTGTTTATTTCCCAATCAAAGAAACTGCCGTTAAATCAAACACATTTTTTGGTCACTTGAGGTTCGTAAGACCTGTCACCAATCTACGGTAGACTCCCAGTAAAATAAAATCTGTTTAATGGAACTGCTGCTTACATAGAACAACTGCATCCAGCACAATTGGTTTCATTCTTGGATTCTCCACCCTTGTTTATCTCCCAGTCAAAGAAACTCCCGTTAAATTGAACACATTTTTTGGTCACTTGAGGTTCCGTTTATTGTACTTCTACTTTTATTTCTACCAGAGTCTAATGACATGCTCTGGCCAGTTGTAAGTCCCCTAAAGTAATTAAGCTTGTTTAAGTGACAAAAAAGCCTGTATAATGCTTACGTTTATATTTCTTGAGCTTCTCCCGAAGCTTTTCATTTTCCTTCCGCAAAGAGGCATTTTCTTTGCGAAGGCTGCTCACGTCGGTGTTTTGTATTTCTTGAAGCAGCTCCAAATCTTGGCTTGCTGCTTTGTCTGTCTTTCTATAGTAACAAAACGATAGAAAGCATTTAAACTGTGATGTAATTTGTTTATAGTTAGGTCATTATTTATGTAGTTCCTCAAGCACAGGCTAATATATTAGTATGTCTAGGTAATTAGTGAACTTCTTATTTGGAGCAATATTTCAAATGGCAGATTTTTTTGGAGATTTTAAGAGAAGGTTATATGATATTTAGGTTTTCACAAAAAGTTAGATAAAACATTTACATCTATTACAAATATCATGTACAAAATGCTTTCAGTATTATTTCTCTAAACAACGAAAAAAGAACAGTCATACAGGTGTACACTGTGAAATTAGTTCTTCAGTAATTAAGCTTCAACACAAGCACAGCACAATAAAGAAAAAATCCTCATAATGATAATAGTTTCGGAATTAAAATTTTTAAAACAGTATGTGGTTATCATCTTAAATGGTTCTGCACAAGCCTAGTCTTAACGTTAATATTTCGCATCAATCCTGCAGAATTGGCAGACAACCGCTGTGAAATGCGACAACGCCTCAATGCTAACGAAATGCACAAAACTAAATGAGAGAGCCTAGCAGTGTGTATGCGACTGATAATAAGGTGACCAGCTCCTCCATTAGCTTTCTGAAAAAAAAAAGAGAATGGCTGTAAAACAGATAGCTGGGCGAGTTGGTATGCATGCACACTATAACTTTTTTAGCATGCACAAAATACAGAACAACAAAGAGAGAGACGAGCGCTAACCCTAAACTAATTTATGATTTACAGTTCTCTGACAAGTATGACAATGTTTCTTTTGCTAGTGCGTTAGCGTGCTCTTTTAGTCGTGTATTGATGCAGCGGCCAGTCTGTTCTATTTACACATTTGTCACAGGTTAGTGGTATAAGATATACCACACCTCGGCACTTCATGAACTTTGATTCTTATTTTGTGTCTTTGTGTAAGGTTGTTGGCAAAAAGTTAAAAACGGGGAAAAACGTAGCTATCCCCCGAAAGAAGAATCAAAGTTCATGCAATGCCGCGAAGGGGTGGTACATCTGATACCACTAACCTGTGGAAATGTGTGAATAGGACAGACTGGCCGCTGTATCAATACACGAATAAAAGAGCACACTAACTCACTAGCAAAGAAAACATTGTCACACTTGTCAGAGCATTGTAAATCATGCCATTGCATTCATGTGTTTCACGATACAGACATAGTGTTCACACATGGAGATAAACTAACACATGAACTTATGGGAGCCTTCCATAAACAGATGTACAAACAAATGTATCAGTAAACCTTCAGTGGCTCTAACAGATAGGGAGTACAGTTTTTTTAAATTCTGCTTAGCCCTCTCTTTTTATGTTTGCCTGTCACATGACTTGCACATGCACTATGCTGGTTCACAAGTACTTATATATTTTGTTCCTTTAAAAAAAAATTAGTAGAGAGTTAGCGCTCGTCTCTCTCTTTGTTGTTTTGTATTTTGTGTGTGCTAAAAAAATAATGCGGAGAGAAAGGCTAATTTCACAATATTGACTAGTACGCTTACAACTAGTGGTCGGCCCAGACGGCGCGTCAACGCCTTGCAACACTCTAGAACAAAAGCCATCGAATGCTCCGCGGAAGCCTGAAACTACAAAAGCTCATTCTTTCTAGTGCTCTTCCATGACCAACTGTACGATCATAGAACAAAACTTTTGAAAAAAAAAAAAGACTGGAACAGAAAGAAACATGGCTGTGGAAATTGTTTAATTGCACTCTGACACACTATATTTACAACATGCAAGGTTTAGACGCTTGAAATTGGGTCGCCAATGTAGAAGGCTGCTGAAACCTGAAACTCAAGCTCATCATAACAAGTCAACTTGGAGAAAGACGCCCGTGCAAACACTCGCTTTCCACAAGTATCACTGCGCATTGCAAAAGCGTGCCGTGAAAAAGTAAAGCATGTAAAATAAAGCTGCATACACGCGTCCTGCTGCCACTCATCGCTGCAACTGCCGCCCCTCAGAAGCTAGCATATGAACAGGCTTCAGGGACCAACATAAAATGATGTGCCTTGCCTGTGCTCAATTACGCTGCTGGTCATTTCAGCTCTGCTTTCAATGAGCATTGTTTTCTTACTTTTTACTAAAGATTATTCTATAATGTTCACTAGCATAGTTTCCTCACACTATTATGACCTAGAGATGGCATATTATATAGGATTAATTATTGTAAGAGAAAAGAGGATGACTGTAAAATAAAAGGTGAGAGGGTAGTGGGCATCACATATCAGCATTAGAATTCAATGAACCAAAGAAACAAGCAGGATTTCGAAGAGACAACTCAACAATCGACTACATTCATACTATCAACCAGGTAATAGAAAAATGCTCAGAATACAACCAACCACTACACATGGCCTTCATATATTACGAGAAAGCGTTTGATTCAGTAGAAATATCGGCAGTCATGCAGACACCGCAGAATCAGGGCGTCGACGAAGCATATATAAACATCCCGGAAGAAATATACAGGGGATCAACTGCCATCACAGTGCTCTATAAAGAAAGCAACAGAGTACCAATCAAGAAGGGTGTAAGACAGGGGGATACAATCTCGCTAATGCTATTTACCATGTGCTTATAGAGGTTTTAAAGGCCTAGAGTGGGAAGAGTTAGGGATAAGAGTTAATGGAGAGTACCTAAGTAACATGTGCTTTACCAATGACACTGCATTGCTGAGTAACTCAGGGGACGAACTGCAGCTCATGAATACCGAATTAGACAAGGAGAGCAGAAAGGTAGGTCTTGAAATTAATCCTCAGAAAACGAAAGTAACATACAAGAACCTCGCAAGAAAACAGAACTTCGAGATAGGTAATAGTGCATTTGAAGTTCTAAAAGACTACGTCTACTTAGGACAGATAATAACCGCAAAGCCGAACTACGAGATTAAAGTAACTAGAAAAATAAGAATGGGGGGGAGCACATTTGGCAAGCACTCTCAAATCATGACACGTAGATGCCACTATCCCTCTAGAGGAAGGTATATAACAGCTGCGTCTTGCCGGTGCTTAGCTGTGGAGCAGAAACATGGAGACTTACAAAGAGGGTTCAGCTTAAATTGAGGACGACGGAGCGAGCGATGGAAAGTAAAATGATAGGTGTAACCTTTAGAGACAAGAAGAGCGCAAAGTGGATCAGGGAACAAACCAGCGTTAAGGATATCATAGTTGAAATAAAGAAGAGAAAATCGACATTGGCTGGGCATGTAGCGCGTAGGCAAAATAACTGCTGGTCAATAAGGGTAACTGCCTGGGTTCCAAGAGAAGGAGAGCAGGTTAGACAGAAAGTTAGGTGGGCAGATGAGATTAAGAACTTTGCAGGTGTCAAGTGGCAGCAGCAAGCACAGGACCGAGTTGACTAGCGGGAAATGGAAGAGGCCTTTGTCCTGCAGTGGACCTAGTCAGGCTGATGATGATGAATAGCAGCGTCCTTAGGTACACTTGAAGGTATAAGAATGCACAGAGCATTTGCGTGACAGGCTTTTAATTATTGTATTATTTATTTTGCTATATAAACGAAAGGCATAGCTGTTGCAAGACACAATACCAACAATACTTAAGCATCAACAGACAAAGAAGTGGTCCCTTCTGTTTGCTTACAGAGTGAGTGCTTGCATGACACTGCTTGATAATAAAGTGTTACAATAAACTTAAGCGAAGTAAAAGAGCAGCAAATTGGCAGGCAGTGCTCCAGTGGAGTAATTCTAAAATATACGCACCATCAGCAATGATCACAAAACGTCAGAGAGTGGGCTAGTGCCCTGAGAACAGCGTACATGATGGTTCCCACAGAATGTGTCAGCCGATACCATCCAACTTGATAACTTACTTGAAGTCTAATATAAAGAAGTTAAGAAATGAAACAAATTTATATTTATTCTTGTTGTAGTTTCAGTAGAATGGGAGTGAAGTGTGAGCCTGGGTTTTGTGCAAAACAATTTGTGGAAGCTAGTAATGACTGTACAATAGATAGAAAACAACTTACACTTTTTTTAGGGTCTGCCATGGCCTGTCTGTTATATTCTGCAATGGCTTTATCCATTTGCTTAATTAGCTCGGGACAGTCCTCTGAAATAAGTATTAGAAGTATGAATTTCATGGGAAACAATCCTACTGAGAGCTCTATCACCAAAAATGCATTGTGGCAATAAAGCTACTGAGTTTGACTGCACTCCCGCCAAACTAGTGTCTAACCTTCAGTGTTTAGTAAATAGAATAAATGCGGCAAGGTAAAAAAAGAGGCATATTATTTTACCACGTTCACATGTATACCTTTTGCAACTCAATCCCCAGCTGAGTAGGTATAAGCATCCCTAATACTTTTTGACAAATGCGCACAACACCTACACGTATAACATATTACTAGCAACGAATACACATGCCAACATTTTTTTTTCTGACAGCAGAGCTGTTAAAAAGAGAGCTTGAGCCAGCCGTCATTTCTGAAAACTCATCAGGTATGAACCACCGAAAACAAGCTTGTGCCAAGCAGCTTCTAGCACGGCATGACCGCTATGCTGCGTATAAGTCTACATCGGCTAGATGGGGTGCTGCTTCAATGACCGACGCTGAGAACATCAAAGAAATCTGAATAACGAGAGAAGTCACCTCATTGACCACTGCATTGCGTGTTCACATTGTTAACTATGATTCTAATTTCAAAATATCCTAGGCAGAAGCGGACAAAAATGACTCACGAAATATTAGATGCACTTTTTATTAGGAAAGCAAGTGAGTAGTACGTAGGGAACATTTCTATTGTGCCGTGCATTGCTGCAATTCAATTCCTTTTGTGCCTTGTTTTTTTTTTATCTAAATTGTTTATCGTGACGATGTGCCTGCGCAGCTTGTTGTCTGTATAAAGGTGTGAATCTGCCTTCAATAAAATCAGTAGTTAGAGTGCACCTGTGCTTATTTGTTTATTACTGCATACTGTGTTTAGTTGCGCTATTCAGGATGGTCTTTATGTCAAAACACCGACCCTTCTAACAGTAGACTTTTTATAGCAAAGCATAGCCATGCATATTACAATATAAAAATGAGGTGGGAAAGAAGTGAGCAAAGAGTAATGTAATGGTGAGGAGAAAAGAAGGAAGGGGAGAGGGTACAGCATGATATAGCCTTGTATGGAGAAGTTTAGCAAAAGGGCAGAAAAGGGAAGAAAGGATGAGGAGCACTGATGTAGAAGTGAGAGTGTAAACCATAGCATAACCATATACAGTGTAGTATAACTAGATGTGGTTAAGGAAAGTGAGGGTGAACAGGAATGAAGAAAAAAAAGGAGAGAGTGCAAGATATACAGAAATAAAAAAAATTATGAAAGAAAAACACGACGTTGAAAGAGATACAGAAAACAGAATAAGATGATGAAACAACTCAATCTGCGATTACAGGGTGGTGGCACTTGCTCCGTTGTTTATGCAGATTTCACACGTGGGAACTGGCACTAATATTTTTTAGATAGCAAAAAGGAAAAGATTGCAGGTGGTAAACCAACCCTTATATGAACACTAATTCGATTGCTGCACTATTTGAAAGCAATTAAGTATTAAATTATATAAACATTAGACATATTGGATGCCTGTTGGACAAAGGAGCAAAGCACATGCCGTATGAAGGCAACGCAGCCTATAGTATTGAACATCATTCAAGGCCCGACTCATTGTGGGCAAGAAAGAGCCACGGCACAAGTCGATAGGCCAGTCCGGCTTAGCAACTTGCGGCAGATACCCATTCTACACAAGCACAAGTAACATTCACAAGTTGACGTATTAGGTTGCTTAACATTTTTTTGTCCAAGGTGCCGCACACCTATTTTAACCCCTTAATGCCTAAATGTCATCTTTAAATGATTTCACAGTCAAGGTGACTAAATTCCACCTTTAATGCATACTTTTACGTACGTGGCAAAATCTCCACATGCCACGGAAGTGAGGACCTCACAATAAAAAACGTACTTCAGAACTACGCAACATCTCATGTGCCATACCTGGAGTGCGTACACACCAAATTGACAAAATTATCAAAGATAGAACTCCCGTCAGCCATGTGAGAAAAAATAAAGAGCGAAAGTGAGCGCTCTTGCACGTGCTTCGCACTCTCCGCCACAAGCTAAAAACAGTTTATTCTAGCATACAATACATTGCGCAAGATAGCGCCAGATTTTTCATGCTAAAACCTACATTCCCCAAGAGTACTTGACAGCTGGCATTAAAGAGGCACGCATTCCATGATTTGCTTGCTCAAAGTTTTTTGTTATGTTATGAATTCGTGACATAAGGCAGTAAAGGGTGACTCATGTTTCAGCTGATGATGTCAACAACAGTGTCTTTTGAAAAAAAAAAAGCTTAGGTTAATAATAAAATAAACATGCATTATGCCAACTCCAATCTGCTTTCAGGTATATTGAAATGTGGAAGCAAGCACAATGTGGTGCCATTAGCTTGACTTTGTATCTTTCAAAACATTGCAACATATATCACAGCAACTCCAGCCATTCCTCGCACATTGAAGTTGTACAATTATGAAGTGAATTTCACTGAAGTGAACCTTAAGAACCACATGAGATTTGTTACAAGTGACGTACAAAATATGTCTGAACCATAGATGCTATTACAAATGTTACATTTGTAGTGTAATAAGCAAAATTTTTGTCAAAAGTACGTATTTCTAAGTTTTAAGTTCTAGCAAAGGATGACAGATGCCATTAAGATGAATGCGATTTGATTAGTCCGTGAGATGCGGCGCAAATTACGATAAATCATAAGGCCTTACAAAGTTAACGCCATTTTCAGCGCCCGCGGTGTGCATCTTGGTATGGCAAAAGGTAGCCCCTAACAGCTATGAGCTTACGTAAATTCACATTCCTCAGTTGACAGGACAGTATCAGTGTGAAAACGGGCATGTTTGGTCACGATCAGGGCCAATCAAGACCATATTTCTCGGTCACGATTAACAAAAGTCACTGCTACACTGTGCAGATCAATCCAGATCAGTTTCGACGCAGAAGTCAGCCAGATCGCGATGTACATGTGTTGATCATTTTGTCTTATTCGGGCTTGATAGCAATAAAAATTTCTCATGGGACACCTTAGTTACACTAGCATGAAGTAAAGTAAAGTAAAGCATGAAGGCCTGATGCAATGCAAAAATCCTAGCAACAGGAAATACCACCAGGGCCAAAGTGGTGCGCGGCCGACATTGTAATAATGCCACCACTTATACCGGGGTCACACGGTCACTTTTGGTCCCGGCGATCACCGATCCACATCAGGCACTGCTACAAGGTCACTATCAATCGCAGTCTGGCCCGACAGCTATCTGTGTATCAAGATTTGGCTTCCAGGTCGCAACTGGGGTGACATGAGCGCCAAGCTCGATCCGGATAAGATTTGTCCGAGCAGGAGCGACCATGAAAATCCGGTCCAGATCGTGATCAAAACAGCTTGTGTGACATCGATATTTGTATGATAGAAACCAAAATTCAAGCTTACCTGATATGGCAATCAGCGTAGCCTTAAACAACCCTTTGTCCCGCCACCGAACTTGCATCTGCGATCCTTCGCAGGGACTTCTTTACTCAACTAGCAACGAATCGTCTTGCCGGAGAAAACCTTAACCAGTCGTTCAGCTGTCACAAAAGGAACTTGTGTGACCGGTAAGTTGTATGTTCACTTCAACACCAGAGTGGATTGATATAGAGACTTCCGCAGGCCGCTCGCAAGATTGTTCCGACAGCACTGTCCGAGGCACTGAACAAGCTTCACAAGACCCTCCAGAATACGTCTCCGCCAACAGCTCCACGCCTGAGTGCCCTAGAGAAAATGGTGACTATGCTTTTATTGCAGCTGTTTTAATGTGCTATTTTATGTTTAGGACATTCTGAGGAAACTATCCTCAAAAGGACACTACGTGTGCAGTTACAAATTGTAAGGGAGGGCTCTCAGTGATTTTCATTTTTTTGTGCAATGTCAACATTGTGAATGGTTTGTTTTTGGGTAGTGGAATCGAAAACTTTGCACCACAGAAAGTTGTGCACCTTGGGTCTGAAAAAGCGAGGAAAGTGCTGGTATGGGATTAGTTGTTCTTCACTTTTACATCCATTTTTTGTTTATTGCAGTGCGTTACTGTGTGCCAGCGACAATCAGCGACAATGTCTCCATGAATGAAGTACAAGCAAACCATTAAACATCCTCAAGCCAAAGTAGCAGCACAGCGGAAAACTATCAAAAGACTGCGGAAACAGCCTCACCAAGCACCGTCATCGACTTCAAAGGCCCTTGGAGTTATCCGACCGCACGTCACCGAGGAGGTTTTTAAACTTCCTTCCGCACATGTTTGCTTGAGGCCCAAACGCAAGGACAAGCGGTTTCCCGTGTGGTTCAAGAAATTCACTCTTCACTTAAACTTCCGAGGTCCGCGAGCATACCGATTTCTGGCTCCATATTTTTCTTTGCCCTCCCGGCGTTCATTAAGGAGGTGGCTTGCTAATGTAAAGATGACTCCAGGCATAATTCCAGGAATCCTTTTTTCCATTTCAACAAATACTCAAGCTTGGAATCAACGGGACCGAGTGTGTGCTTTAGTTTTCGACGAAATAGCACTCAAAAACAATTTGTACTATGATGCTGCAAGAGACGTTGTCCAGGGTTTTACAGATGATGGCACTCATCGCACTCCAACCATTGCTGATCGAGCACTGGTTTTTCTTATTGTTGGTGTTTCGAGAAAGTGGGTTCAACCGGTTGCTTTTACTATAGGGCACACATCAACACCATCATTTGTTATGCATAACTTGCTGGTGTCACTCATTTTGGAGCTTAGCAGCATTAATATTGCAGTGAAAGCAGTCATTTGTGACCAGGGCAGTTCAAATGTAAGTTTCGCTAACCAACTAAGAGTGACTGTAGCATAGCCTTTTTATGAAGTTTATGGTGAGCGGGTGTATTACATTTTTCATTTTCCGCATTTAATTAAAACAACACGCAATAATGTCCAATCACACAAGTTATACATTGGGGAAGACATCGTTAACTGGTCGCACATTGTAAGCCCTTACCAATCCTCACATGAGTTGCGGTTACGATTGGCTCCAAAGTTGACTGAACGGCACGTTCATCAGAAACCTTTTTCTAATATGAAGGTCAGCTGAGCAACTCAGGACCTCAGTGCACCAGTTTCGATTGCTATCACTGCAATGGTGTATGCGAACGTGCTGCCTGCCTTGGCCATCACTACAGCTCAATTTTGTGATCGTATGGACAGGATTTTCGATGGCTTGAACAGCTCGAGTAAAAAAAGAACTTCGCAAAAGCTGTGGCATGAAATCATGAAAAATGATTCAGAGCATATTGACTTCCTCCGAGGCCAGCTTCCCTGGATTGCATCACGGCAGTTTGTTGGCAGACGTCAACCACAAACCATCGTAGGTTGGCAAATTGCAATTCAGGCTATTTGTCAACTATGGGGCGACCTCTCCAAAAATTACAATTTTGAATACTTGTTAACACGCATGCTTCAACAGGATCCTGTGGAGAACATATTTGGCCACATTAGGCAAAAACAGGGTTGCAACACCAACCCCAATGTAGCACAATTTATTTGTGGCCTGAAGCACATCTGTATAAGAAAACTCTTCAAGCTGTCAGAATACGGAAATGTCGAGGATGATGAATGTGACCTCCTCCAGGAGCAGCTCTCGCCATTCTCCCTCACCAGTGCGTCTCTTGTGGATAATGAGGAGTGTGCACAGCCACAGCCTGACGACTTTCCCGCTCTAGATTATCTCTCTGAACTTGCGACCAACATTCACTCCCATATTACCGATGACTCCGCTGCATATTATGTAGCTGGTTTTCTCATCAAACACTTCCTTCGGAATGCATGTGACGTTTGCAGTTGCCCACAGTTACTGAAAGACGACAGTGAGACGCTTAAGGGTACCCACCAGTATTTCACAATGTTCAAAGCATACCACGTCCCCAGCAAACTTTTTGGGAATCTCACTGTGCCACCAGAAGCAGCTTTTGCATACGTACAACAACATGAATCTCACTTTCTTGCCACAATTGAGGCCACTGCACATCACCTGAATATGTGCGATGTTTTGTATCACCATCTGTCAAGTGTTGATGATTTTTATTTCTGCTCTGTGTGGGTGTCGCGCGAAGTTTCTGAAAATGTTTTGCCGGGTTCGTTTATGTTGGCGTGTGCGTTTTGTGAACCGAAACCTAGATAGGGTTAGGTTCCAGTCTTCATTTTCAGGCATACAGCTTGACAAGTTCAAAGGTTAGCAATTAGCGGCGGGTTTACACTAAAGTATTCGAGTTGAGCCGAATCCTTCAATAGCTTTGTTATGTTATTACTTCGTTACAGCAGACTTCATTATGGTCTCATATGCTCATATTCAGTTCAACTGGACTAACCACTCCTTCGTTGCATACATTGTTTTGGTTACCCGCTATGAGGAGTAGGGACACTGTGTATTCGCTCGAAGTGATTTGCATAACCTTAAAAAGAATGTTGGACATCATGTCTGTATATTTGTAGCAAATGCGGGCGAACTGTACGCTTTACTGTAGGTCGCTTGGTCAGTGTGTATGCTTTATCTCTCCAGCTCAAGTAATATATCGATAACAAAACCGCTTGTTGAAATGTCTTCGAGCGGGTAAGGAACACAGTATGAAGTGGGCACGGCTCACGTTATCATGCTTTTCGTATTTTAGCTTCTCATCAACCTCCTCATCTCGCCCATCAAAATTTTCAAAAGAATACCCAAACTTGTAGCGTTTGATGGGGCTGTGGACGCTGCCATTTTATTTTTACATAGCTTGTGAGTGATAACGTACGATGTAGAGCCTTTGTGAAAAATAATGGGCCAAAGTGGTTTCCTTCTGCTATTTATTAGCCCTCCAATACCGCTCTCGTAGCACCAATTAAGGTCCACAATTCTGGATGAGTGATGACTATAATCTATTTTAGCTCGCAAGCGTCACATCAACACCCAGACGCAAATCACTTGGGATCTTAAGTTTTTGATGAAGGTGACGCACAAGAAAAGCCACAAGACCTGCCAGTGTTGTAGCATAAAGTTTGTCTTTCACGTAGTTAGCAAGCTGCAAAGCCCTACCTTGCTTAGGACAAGCAGGCATCAAGTCTGCTTTTTTTTTTTTTCATTTTGTGTTAGCTGTTCTTAAGCACAGCCAGCACACTGCATCTTTGCCTTTCTGCTATATTGTGTCGTGTGGCTTCTGTGCCCTCTTTTTTTCTATGCATTATTTCGGTTAACCCCAGGCGTGATTCGCGACTTCATTGCTGTGTATATGTCACTTCTTCCTTCTTCATCAGCATTGTGCGCTGTGTTTTTGCCATAGATCCTTACTTACCCACTGGCCCGGTGTGTCATACTTCACCAGCTTCTCGGATTCTGCTAACTCTAGCGATGTGTGCGTTGTATGTGTTCTCTCTGTATTTGTTACAATCTTTGTTACAATTTATTTGTAAGGCGAGATGCATTTGTTGTCTACATTTGTCATATTGTGCTTTTTATATTCTCAGACTCTACCTTGCCTTTGAATAAAACATTGCGGATACTCTGTCTCTTTGACTGATATATACATTGATCACTTGTTCCAAAAGAAAAACACAAGCGCGATGAACAAACCGTAGTGAATTATCATTACCTGCATCTCTTTTTATTATAACTTAATCGAAATAAAAATTACGTCACGACCGATTCGCGCGAACTACTGAACAAAACAAAACAGGGAATCGCTAAATCAAAACTACTTACAAAAACTATCCATTTGGGCGATGAAAAGTGGTCTGAAACCATGAACTTTCGTGATAGCCAAACGTCGGTTACGCAAAGTAATTCAAAATTTGCGCCAGTGAAACCGAAACAGAAAGCGCACACCACTTGCTCTCACCAACCACCAGGTGTGCTAGGGTCGATTGGGCCGCTGGGGTACCCAGATGTTAAAACTTGAAATGTGTTACGAGGCCAGTTTTAACATTACGAGTAAATTGTAGTAGTTTGATTAAAGGATAAATTGTATGATATAAACTATTTTGAAAAATGTTTTTACTGGACAAATTACAAAATAATTGAATCCGACAAAGTATCCAAAATGTTTAACATCACTAGACCAACAATGGTGGATTATGGGGATGACACAGGAACAGCGTAGCCTGCAATGCACGATTGTTTTAAACAGTTCTTCGCATTTCTCCCGTCTTTTCTTGGGGACGGCGTTAAGCTCTCCCATAGTATAGTACCAAGTGCTCTACATCGTTAACCACTTCCCCCCCCCCCCCCCCCACCTGTGGTGAATTGCTATGTAAATGCAGTTCACCTATTATGCGGGACGGCTCAGTGCTCTCCCATAGTTGATTACCAAGTACTCGAAATCGTGAAACACGTTTTCTGAAGACAAAAAGTAAAATTGTGAACTCCATATCCTGTGCTATTGTTAGGAATCAATACATTGCCTACACGCGTACACCTGGCAACAAGGATAGAGTTGCTGATTAGTTAATTAGAAGCTTCGATGAGTCGCATATAGGCAACACCAAAAATAT